TTACCAAGTCTCCCGACCCTCCAAGTATACTATATGGTCAAATGCTGTACACCAAAACCTTAGTCTAGTTAGTAAGGCCCGAGGCCCTAAACCCAAAACCATGTGGATCTGATTATTAAGGCCCAAGACCCAAAAGCCTAAACTACCCTAAATCCTAAACCCTGAAATCCTAAACCCTAAATTGCTGTTCCATGTCATTCGGAGTGGACCTGAGCAATCAGATCCCGGTCTTGCACATAGTGCACCGTAGGACAAGCAGCCATGCAGCTATATGGTGCTCGTATAGGGGTTTAGGGTTTAGGGGTTTACTTCTCGGGTTTAGAAGTTTAGGGGTTTAGGGGTTAAGGGGTATAGGGTTTAGGGTAGATGAAATGTCGTGGAATGGAAGGGGCTTACTCCTTGGAGGTTCGGGCTGCTTAGAACTTCATTCTAATCGTAGTTACAAGCCGATGAGAACCTGAGTAACAAAACTAAGGTGGCTCCTACCATTTATGTGCTTCTCGACAGAACCGTCCAACCCCAAACCCGAAGAAAAGAATTCGCGAGCACCTTCAGCCCTAAAACCCTAAACGCTGTTTTGGGAGGGCTGCTGTTTGAACCGTCTATTGTCGTACATTTCGTTGTTAAACCCACGCAAGCCAGAATGCTACCTGCGTCTTGATGCTTTCTAGTCTGGTCCCCGTCTTACCGGTACAAGTCCTGCTTCATAGTGGAACCCAAACTGTGTTTTGGTGGTTACGTTCAAAACCGAAGAGGAAGGCGGGCTATTTCAAGCTCTTCATCTGCATGTGGAGCCTCATACCGTTTCTAGTTCTGTGGCAAGTTGTTTGATCGACGGCCTTCACGAAATAATTGTGTCGCGTGCTTTGTTACTGGCTGGCTACTTTCTTAACTGTTAGTTTCCGGCTCGGTTTTGAGGTCGGTGTATGTCGCATGTCTGTGGAAACCAAACCCCAAGAGGAAAATAGGTTTCGCTGCAAGCCCTAAACCCTAAGCCCATAAACCCTAAACCATAAACCCCTAAACCCCTAAACCCTAACCCAAAACCCTTACTCTAAATCCCTAAGTTCTCAAACCCCGTAGTGCGTTGCTTACGTGTGGAAGCTCCGCCTTTCGAGTCCAGCCGGGCAGGTCTTAAATTCACTGGCGTTCCCGCCGCTGGTCATACGCTTGATTCTGATGATATATATATATATATATATATATATATATAGAGAGAGAGAGAGAGATAGAGAAAGAGAGAGATATAGAGAGAGAGATACATATATATATATATATATATATATATATATATGGTGGTTGTCAAAATTAGGGTCCCTTTTGGGGTCCCTATTATAATACGGCACCTAACATTTAGGGTGCCCAAAAAGGGACCCTAATTTTGATAACCACCCACACACACACATATATATATATATATATACATCCTGCATTACCTTAAGGATCCTAAATCATGGGAATTATAGTGTATTCCTTATTATGGGAGTAATGCAGGAGTTTACATCATCAACTGTAGTTCGGCTCTAGATATAGGGGCTTGAGGAAGTCTGAATACTATTCAAAACCTTACGGCTCCTTGCTGTAATCTCAAGATAGCATGCCGCAATACTCTTTTCTATTCGGCCCTAAACCCAAAGCCCTAATTCTATAAAACCTCAACCCTAACCCCAAAACCCTCCTACACCCTAACCGAAAATCATGAACTCTAAAGCCCTAAGCTGAGGCTTCAGGTTTAACTGCTCAGGGATCAGATTTCGGAGAAGCTGAGTCTATAGTCTCCGTAGGATGTTTCCAATTTTGTTCATTTGCAGCCCAAGAGGATATCCAACATATTATATATGTTTATTACGGTTCTAAGGGGAGTAGCTGAGTGGGTGCACGTGTACACGGTTTGGGGATAACGTGAGGGATTTAGGGATTAGGGGCTTTAGGGCTATGAAGGTCATACTAGGGGTTTCTGAAGATAGATAAGACCCATATAAAACTGAAAGTGTACGATTACTTTGGGGGCGTAAGAACTCAGCAACTAAGCTCTTTACTCTTCGGAGGGCCCCCCGAGGTAAGGAATGGGTGGTGAAGGTTTTCAGGGTTCCTTTAAAGTTTAAAGCGGTCTTATAAGGGTTACTGGAAGGGTCCCCATAAGGGTGATTATAGGGCTTTAGGGCTTCATTAAGGGTTTACTGGTTTAGCGGTTTGGGGTTTAGGGTAGGGTGCCTTCGAAGGTTCCCTCAAGGGTCCGACAGGGGCTTCGGTAGGGGGTTGTCTAATTCAATTCAGGTTGAGTATCACGTAGATAGGGAACATACCTTTTATGATGTCAGGAGTATTGCTTTAATTGGAGTATAGGGTTAAGGGTTCCGGCAGATCTGAGCAGTTTTTATGGTGTCTCGGATGGACCGTGTCCCCTTGGGATCATTTTCCTGTAGGGCTCGAAGAGGATATCTACCCGTCGAGCTTGACGAATGTCGTTTCAGAGTGTTTGAAGTTCTAAAGGCCGAACCTGGTCGTAACTTTGGTGATTGAGAAGGATCGAAGCACGAGTAAGTGAAGCCATTTTTGCACTACTTGCAGAATGAGGTGACTTGATAAGGTGGTATTAAATACGGGGAGGTTATACAGAACGACCAGTGGGGTTGCGCTACCCGCTACACATCACCCTTCTACACCCTGCTGCACAGCCGCTTACTAGGTACCCTCTACAGACTCATAAACCCGTGCAAGACCCTGCAAAGCCCCCCGGGACAAGTAACCCAGTGGAATGCAATATGTGGTCCCAGTGGTTAGGAATCCTTTACATTCATGGCAGAATAAAGCGAAATCGAGATCTTTCATATTCAGGTTCCTGCATCCCTACATCCAGCCTAAACACTGCAAGGGTCAGGGTTTAGCTTCTTAATCTGCGGTTGGAATTGTCGATCGAGGCGGTTGGTTCTGTGAGCACAAGGGTCGTTTCATGTCGATAAGCGGTTCAATCAATCGGGTTCAGGGCTGAGGGATTACAGCTTAGGCTCTGGGCATTTGCGCAGGTTTACGTGGCAGGATTTGAGGACTTGGTGCAGACACTATAGACCAGACCGCATTAGCCTGAAGCTTGTTTTGTACCCCGAAGGACATAATCACTCAAGCCAGCTGCAACCGACTATGCCTAAGCATCTTCCCTCAGTTTCCTTACATCCCACTATCTCTACCACCCGTCGGCCCTTGATCAAAGAGGCCGGTTCATGAAAGGTTTAGGGCCAGTCCGACCTACAGGTTCAAGCTAAAAAATCCAACTGTCAGGCAGGAGTCCGTCAGAAACATAACCAAGGCAAAACGAAGCTCAAATCCTGTACCACATTAACCAGCCCTTGAAACCCGTGAAACACTCTAAAACCCACAGCCCATGAGCGCTTAACCACTCGCTGACCGATGATACTCTAGATGAAATGCGACGGCACCACTTCGCCCAAAACGGTTTAAACCCAAAATCTTAAACCCTAACCCACAAGGCGACACACCAAGGAAGATAACACGTCACACAAAAGCGCAAACCCAAAGCCCTTTTCCCTGATGCAACACATTTTTTTCAGATCCCAAGCCCGAAACTTTGCCGGTTTTAAAGATGTCGAAACCCTGAGCCCTAAACCCCCCACCCACAGAAACCTATTTCGGATATAGAAACCCCTATCCTATCAACGAAAAAGCCGAAAACGCCAATGCATACCTCTTAAACCCTAAACCTTCAGCCCTAAACCCCGAAAGAGGGTACCCCCAAACCAAGGCCGCCAGACCATCGGGGGAGGAATGGCACGGGAGCTGGTGACTGGAGAGAGCCAGGCCTTCTGGCTTCAGTTGCTGTTTACTTGGAGGGTCGGGGGACTTAGGACGTAGGTAGTAAGTAGACTTATAAGTACCCTAATAATTAATAGGGACCCTAAATCGGGGTTAGGATACTTATAATTATGCAACTATTTACTAAGTCCTCCGACCCTCCAAGTAGTGTTTATGTAGGATGGTCTAGGACCTCCAGGGTTCAGGGCCTTTAGGGTTTAGGCCCTTTGGGGCCTTTAGGGTTTAGGGTGTTAGGCCTTTAGGGTTTAGGGCCTTTAGGGTTTAGGGTTTAGGGCCCTTACCCCCCAAGGGCCCTCTAATTAGAGCCCTTATGGTCGGTAATAGTCGGTATTTGGGGTATAATTGAGGGGTAGTTGGGGGGGTCTAGGTGGGGTTCAGTTGCTGTTGAAAACCTTTAGGGTTCAGGGGTTAGGGTTTAGGGTCTGTATGGGGTTTAGGGCATTTAGGGTTTGTTTACGGCCCTTAGCGTTAAGAGTTTAGGGCCTTTAGGATTTAGGGTTTAGGGCCTTCAGGGTTTAGACTTTAAGGGCCTTAAGGGTTTAAGGCCTTCAGGATATTGGGTTTACGCTTTAGTGGCTCAGGGTTTGGGATTCTTGCATCTGTTCAGTTCCAGCACATACAGGGACCTTTGTTCGATGGCTCGCTTGGCGGAAGGTGCCAAGTTTCACAGCATGATATAACACAAATTCAAACGACATACTAAATAAGCCATCATACGCTAGGACCTAAAATAACATAGCATGGCATAATAAAATGTGACATATAATGTGACATTACATAACATAACCTAATATTATAATGTATACTGTTTTTACGCGACTCTTAATTCATGGTTTTGGGAGTCTCTGGGTAATTTCCCCAAGCCTTACAAGCAGTGACTCCCCGAAAGCACAAGGCCGGCTAAGCCTGGTGGAGCCCTCCGGTCCAAGTACCTATGGTTGATGATATAAATCCCGGGGTTCCTTTAAAAGGATCTATAAGGGTACCCTTAAGGGGTTCATTCCTTTAAGGGATCTATAGGATTTAGGGTTTAGGATATAAATCTTGCATCGCCCATAATAAGGAGTATGCCATAAGTCCCATGGTTTGGGGTCATTAAGGTAATGCAGGTTTTATATCATCAACCGAAGTACCTAGTTAACATTCATGTGGGTAGTTCTCTACTTGGCTCAAGATTTTCGGGCCGTGATAACAAGGACGTCATGCAGCTTGACGCCTTCGTCACCGCGCCGCCATAGTTCGCCAGCATCCGGTCCCTCCCCCAGGAGTGCGTGCGGGCCCCCGGGGTCGAGACTGTCCGGCTCTGCTGCAGTCGCCCGCGCCGCCACCCCTCCGCTGGCATCCGGTTCCTCCTCCAGGACAGTCTGGCTCCGCCTCGAGTGCGTCCAGTGCCCTGGAGTGGAGACCGTCCGGCTCTGCCACTCACGACCGCCTGATCGCATGCATCTCCTCGTCTGCAGTGGAGTCGCCCACAATGGCCCCTTCGCCCGGCACCAAGTCTGTTAGTCTTCTGCTCCGCAGTGTGCTTGTCCTGGCACTCCTCCACCTCGCCCCCCTAACTCACCCACACGCGCAGCCGCACACGCCCCCACCCCGGCCCCGCCACATTGCAGCCATCGGGAGGGGGCGGCGACGCGAGCTCACCTGCCAACTAAACTCTGCCTGGTCCAGCACTGCACCCGACCCGCACCCAACAGAGCTTTGGCGCCCCCGCCTACCGCATCCAGTCTTCCGGCGCAGACGCGGGCCCCTCTTCCGGACACAACGCCGCAACTGGTGCCACCATGCCACCCGACGACGTTGGTCGGGTTGGCCGAGCCGGGGAGTGCGTCACGGCGAAGCCTCCCACCCGGGCCCTCACTCTCCGCGCGCCCGTTCTGCATCGCCTGGGCGCCACCAGCGCGCTGCCACTAACCCCCGCGTGTTCTGCCCCGTGCAAGGATGCCCGTGTGCCGATGCCTCTTCCGCCAGGGGCTGGAGCAACCACTCCAAAATGCAGGCCCACCTCAACGACCATTGCGCGGGCTCGCTTTGCGGAGACGTCCCACCCGCTTATCTCGCCCAGCACTCCTTGGATAAGTGCCAAATCTGCGGCCTGCTTGTTGCCCCTCGCTGCAGGCCTCTTGCACGTTCCGGTGCTGCTCACCCCGCCGCTTCGCAAGATGGGGCTGCGGTACCCGACATAGGCCAGGTCTGCCAAGCCCGAGTCCCTGTCCTCCGTCATGTGCCTAAGCTAGCTCGCAGTGCCTGGGCCCAATGCCTTGCTCGAGCCCTAGCCGCCGCAGCCTCTTCAAACTCCCTCCGCGCCTGGCGTGACTTGCTTATATGCTGCCCAAGGCGGTCTTACGCCCACCCCGCCGTGGTGGCTCCAAACGTCGGGATGCGGCCGCCCAGAACGCTCTTCGCCGCTGCCGCCGATGGTTGGAGGGAGAGCGGGAGGAGTTATGGGAGCCCCACACCACTGTATCCCGCCACCAGCCTGGCGACCACGACTCCGAGATTGCGGCCCGCCATGCCCGATGTATGACCCTCGCCGGTGAGGGCGAGCTGTCCCGGGCCTGTGCCGCCCTGCTCAGCCCCCCCCTGCTAGGCCATGAGCCAGGCGTGCTTGACAAGTTGCGCGCCAAACACCCACTTGAATGTTTGGGGTGTTGCTTAATGGTTGCATGGCTTACTAAACCACATGTATCCCATATCTAATGTGCATATAACACATACTTAAGTGCTAACAAAAAACGTATCCCCCTCAGGGGTTCTAGCAAAGTCGCTAATTATGTTTAAATTTTCAATAATTGCAACTCTGACTATCTATTTACATAAACGGTTATTGTAATTTTCCTAACCCCTTTAACTTGGAAAACCTATATCGGAAAACACTATCTTGCTGCTTTGTTTTTGTTGTTTTGTGGTTTCAGGAATTGCAATTATTTCCTTGCTGTTCCCTTTTTTTCCTGTGTGAACTGATAGATTTGTGGGGTCACGGTTGCATATTGTGCGGTTGCATTAGCCGACATCTGGCTGCATGTTGCATGACATGGTATGTTTCGGTTGCTTGCATCTTTGCTTTGTAGCCTGTGGGCTGCATGGTTGGCATGATACATGCGGGCCATTTGGGCTGCATGGTTGCTTGATTGTTCTTTAGCCTACATGGGCTACATGAGATTGATATTCGAGCCCATGCGGGCTGCACGACTTGCATATACATGAGAGCCATGTTGGCTGCATGATTGCTTGATTGTTCTTTTAGCTTGCAAGGCTATACATAAGATTGATGTTCGAGCCCATGTGGGCTGCATGTCTTGCATCTGCATGAGAGCTATGTTGGCTGCATGCATGGAGTCCACGGGCTGCATGCATATATGATGTGCTGCTTAGATATGAATGGTGCATGCAGTGTTTGGTTGGAAAGCAGTTCAGATAGCAAGCCGTATATACACTTGCGGCCTACCATGGCATTGACCCCGGCAGTCATTGCAGAAGCTGACCGTATCATGGCATCGGATGCGGCAGTGAACCTCAAGGTGTTGGAGCTTAATGATTTGTGGCTGAGCAACGGGCTCGCCTCCAAGCAAGTCCATGGACCAGAGAGGTTTTGCATACATCCCCAAAATCGGGGAGGTGCCATGATGAATAGCTTTGATATGGTGACAAAGGGGGAGACGATGATGAGCCAAGGCCTGCGGATTGATTTGCTCGAAACAAGTGCAGTAGCATTCTGCATGTCCAGCAATGCAGTGAAACGTGACAAGCAACTTGCAGCAAATCGGAAATGCTGTTCCCAAGCCAAAGGGGTGATGCCCGAAGTGGTTGGCGACGAATTGTTTCTCACGGTTGGCTCATCTCACTCCACGTGCTATTTGAAATCCATGAAGCAGGGCCTTGTGAAGAATGCTTCTTCGTTCATGAAAAAGGGTCAGCCCGTCGAAAGGTGCCTGAGCCAAGGATGGACTTGGCTGATTCTTGCTGATACCTTGGAAGACCAATTCCCGAGTCTCCCGTTGCTGTACTCGTCTGTGCTCAATAGCAACAACTCGGTGTGTGTGGCTTCGACAGAGATCGAGTGCCTTGCCACGATCAGCAATTGCTTGAAGTTGGGCAAGACGGTTGCAGAAGCCACTGCAGCGACGATGCAAGGGGAACCGGCTTGCAAAGAGTACTTGGAGACGGTGGCATTCTTTGCTCAGAAGTACACGGGGGGCGACGAGATGCCTTTGGTTGATTTCCTTGTGTCCTTTAGTTGCTTGTCTTGCCATATATAGTTTATATGACTTTTCGATACATGCAGATTGCATGCATGCATATAGGTTTGCACAGCATGGAACTTGCGAGGCAAGCTTTACGGCCAGAGCATTCGCCTCGGACAAGAGTTCACTCAGTTGATCACATATTTTGACTTTAAGCTTGAGGCCAACCTGGCCCCATGCTTCAGAGTGGCTTGCATGGCTGCACAGGTGGCCTCACCCAAAGTCCAAGACCAGTTTGCGAAGCTACTGGTCAAAGCTGATTTGGACCGCATCAAATCCAAATCAAAACCCGAGCTTCTTGAAGCAGAGAGGCTTCTGAAGGATGCATGGGTTGCCACACAGAATGCACCCTTGAAGGATGGTGAGCGATACACCGTTTTCGGGCGCTGTTGTGTGCGAACAGTGCTATACCTCAGCCAGAAGCAAAGTTCGGCCGAGAGAACAAAGAATGGAATAGCTTGGAGGAGATCAACCAGGCACTCGCCACCGAGCTCTTGGGTCCTAAGGGCACGAGTTCCAGTGCAGCTCCGACCGCAAGCCCCTCGAAGGTAGCGAACCTGCTGGAGGCTAGCCCATCAACCGTTGCTATGATGCAGCATCCACATTTGGAGGTCGGAGGCCTATATCAGCACAGCGACTACGGATCCCAGGTGTTTCAGCTGTTGGAGCTGAACGACACGTCGGCGAAGTAGCTTGGTAGTTGATTTGAACTTGAATTGCATGATGTACTGCATGCTTGAGCATGGACTGCTTGCATACTGCATGAAAGCATGCACATGATGTTGCATGTTGTTTGTGCAGGTTTGAACATCGGCCCCTAATGCAAGATGCATGGACAGTGGCCATTGCACTGTCCGATGACCTGAAGCAGTGGAAGAAAACGAAGAAGGCGATTGTGCAGGTAGTGGACCAGGCGGCTTGGTCGAAGTACCTCGTGGAGAACAACTCGGCTGAAGGTGAGGCCATTGACATGCAGCGAATGCAGATCCTGCTCTACGACACGTTCGTGAATCTCCCGGAGGTCGATGGCTTCAGCTTCGTGAGCCCGCCCACGGGCCTTTGTGCCACGATTAACATCCCGAAGGGCAAGCTCAAACTCATCGCTTATGGTGATTTGAAACGAGATGATGGCAAGCCTGGCCACAAGGTCTCGGGATATGCTTTGAGCCCGCCAAAGGCTGTCGGTGATATGGATAATGTCACTGCTACGTCGGTGCTCGTACCGTTCTGGTACGTGAAGCCATCGATGGATGCTGAGGCCGTTAACATGCAGCTGACCAATGCTAAGCATGGGGGTCTGGCAATCCCTTGCTACACCAATTCGAGATCTATCAGAAAGGGGGAACTCCTGTTGCATGCAGCTGAAGCTTTGCTTGCTAAGGAAGCCTCCAAGGCTGCTCCCAAGAAGAGGAAAGCAAGCTAGGAACATGCACAGGCACCAGCTATAAGCTGTATATAGAAGCACCATGTGGTTGCAGGATCGAACTGCAAATTTTGCTCCATGGATTGAGCTATGCATTTCAGAATGCTTGACAAAAGTTTGAAGGCTGCTTAGCGACTTGTGTGGATGCAGACATGGATTGCACGTGCACATCATATAGCATGGCATGCCAGCATTGATTGCAATTTGCATGAAGCATCTTCTGCTGACAGTAGCCAGATAGTAAAGCTTGATTTGTGAGAGCACCATGTCGGATGCTGAGTCGCCTGACAACGAGTTCTCCATCGAGAAGATTTTTCAGGTGAAACACAAGGGGCATGTGATCACCTTGCCGTCCGACTTGGTTGTGCAAGATGGCGAGCAGCACTTCGTGAAGATCATTGGCAGCCACCGTTCAATTTGCAAACTAGTTTGCCCTTGCACATCTATGGCTACCAAGAACATGTCCATCGCCGGCAGTGCCAACTTGAAGACCTTGCTAGAGTTGCTCTGCAAAGAGTTCAGCCCCAAGCAGACCCAGGATGCAGGACCCGACTTGTTCGACGACAACAAGGAGCCACAGAAGGCCAGCAAGAAAAGAAAGCTTAGTGCAGTCTTGCCTTGCACAATCAAAACTGTCACTTTGCCGAATGGCAAAGAAGCATGTTTCATGATGTCTTCACTGAAGTCCTCTCCGGCTGTGTTGTTGCAGGAGCCAGACATGGTTAATCTTATAGAGTATTTGGCTGAGGATTGTGATTCATGTGCTTGTTCCAGCCGGAGGGGCTATCATGCTACTGGTAAATTTGCCAAGCTGAAGAAATAGTTTTCCGAAAAGCAGGGCATGCAAGGATTGCCTGCTTTGAACCTGTCGGCTGCAGGGGTTCGTGTCGACGGGACAAAACAAGCTTCTTGCCACGTGTGGTTCAATTGGCAACTTCTTGTGGAGCCGGTTCGGCTACTTGTTGCATGTTCTTGAACACCGTGTGCTCACCCCATGCATATTCACATGTACTATATATAGAGCCAGTTGGGCTGCTTGTTGTTTGTTGCTGAGCCAGTTGGGCTGCATGCATGCATGCATGGCATGGCATGACATGTTGCATGGTCCTGTGCATCAGCCAAGGAATGTCCTCGACATCCTGGTTGGCCCTTGGGTGCTGCAGAACGTCGAGGTCAATGATGGCTTGATTCTCAAGAAGCCCGGGTCTCACTGGTATATGTTCTGGTCGAACCAGACCGGGTCCTACCTCGTCGCCGACCACATCGCCGATGAGTCAGTTGCCGGCTGTTGGGATGGTGTGGAAGTGGTGTGCAGCATCGAGGGTGGCGGTGAACGGCGAAGACCAGTGGGATCGGTCTTTTCGCCATGGTGGAATCGTGGTCGCTCGGGAATCGTGCGAGTACGAGGCCAGGGGGCTTGCACCTTTATGAAAGAGTGCATACAGGAGCTGCTCTTCCAGAAGAAAGTCTTGGAGGATGAGCTGCAGCAGGTGAAGCTGCACAATGAGTCGCTGCAGCTGGAGCTTCAAGATGCATCCAAGAGGAGGCGAGTGGGCG